GACAGACAGACAGACAGACAGACAGACAGACAGACAGACAGACAGACAGACAGACAGACAGACAGACAGACAGACAGACAGACAGACAGACTGGGTAACTGAATTAAAGGGATAGATGGTTCACTTATAGAATTTTACAAAAATTATCACCTTTATTAAATGCAAGTTTAACAACTTTGCATGACCAATGGTTCACATATACTTTTTAAAAGTCTTTTCTTATTTTTATTTGACATATTCTTCAAATAACGTAACACTTAAAGCATAGAAAAGGCTCCTGACAAATTTAGGTGTCAGTGCTTAATAAAGACTAAAAATACGTATTCATTTTATTATTATTAGCATTTTTTATTTGCAGAACACAAACTTTGCTTGTACAAGGGAGAGCACATAATAATAAATTTCATTTCTCTAGGACAGATTGTCAGACACTGACTAAAATAGAAATCATCTTTAATAATAATAATAACCATGAGGTAAACATGACGCTGGCCAGCTATCTGAATGCATTTAGCAAAAAATTTTGAAAATTGTTTCATTACAGTCTCATTATCTGTGGTATCGATTGCATGGGCTCAAAAAATAACTCTTTTATCAAAATTCTAATTCTAATTGTGTAAATATTCAAGAAAAAAATACAAAATGTACGTAGGATTGTAAAAAGAATGAAACAGTTTTCTTTTGCTCCAAAGTAAAATTTTGCTTCCTGTGCTGAGTACATATTAACAGCTTACAGACGATAAAATAATAACCTTCAAAGCCATACAAACCAAGCTGAAAGGAAAAAGGAACTGCCATAGAACTTAACACAGACCTCTGCCAACCAGTGATGGCAATGCCTTGGATGGCCTTGAACTTTTGGCTCATGCTGCGTAGCGTCTCAAGCCAGGCATGATGGTTGTCCAGGTGGTAGCGGATGTTAGTGATGGCTGCGCGAGGACCAGTAGCGCCCTTGAATGCGCTAGCTATCCAGATCTTGGGAAAGATTGCACTCAGATTCTCCCACAGATCTGTAAACACAATACTGCAGTTTGATTTGCTTTTGTTTAGGTTTAGAAAGAGTTTTACCGCACTTGCAACACAATAAGGTATTATAAGTGCCGAAGATTAAGAGGTGCTACGAGAGGGTAACAAACACAAAAAAGAAGGAAGAAAGATAAGGATGATAGATATTTGATAGGAAAGAAGGAGCAAACCACACCAGATCACACACCAACCACCCAACATTTACTTTCAAAACTGATTTACCATTACTGTCCCCTCGTGTATATTTCCCCCAAAGGGCAAGATCCAGTTGGAAATTTTTACCATAATCTTTCCAATTGTCTGAGAAAAATATTCTGCATGTTATCTTCTTAAACTTCATACAAAGGTAATATAGAAATTTGTTTAATGTTTGAAAAAAATTAGATGCAGTCAGTATTACCTGGGTTTCAGGAGTCAATGGCTCCAGTATTATCTGGGCTAGAAGGAAGTGAGGCTTAAAAATAGCATGGTGCTATAAGGGTTTATTCAATCAATTCAAGCATATTCCACATAAGCAAATTGTAATGAACATTTCATCAAACAATCATGGCCATTGTAAGCATGAAATTTCCACTAACGCTGTAAAAGACGATACACATAATCAATTAAAAAGTTAAAAACATCCACCTTTTCCGGACATAAATCTGTTTTTGAGAAATCAAAAGCATAGAAGCAAGGTATAACTCAAGTGACGCATTGAGTGTCGTTCAATTGATAAGAGCTCTATTTCCAGAACTTTCAAACAAAAATAATGAGGCAATTGTCACACAGTTTAGCTCAGAGGGAGAACAAAAAATGAAGACTCTTAAGATTTATTTATGCATATTCAAAAGTGCGAGTAAAAATTCAGTACACATTATACTGACCATTGGGCAGCATGAAAGCAGGTACGTAGTGCCAGATCATAGGCTCAACGAGACCACCGAGTCGACAATCTGAAAATAAGTTTCACAACATTTTAAACCTCCATCAACACAATTTAGATCCTGTAATAAGCAGACAACCCCTCTTAGATATCAGAATGAGTTGAAAAAAGTACAAAACCCATATCAAAAAGAGTGTAAAAACTTTTAGAGAACTAAGTCACAAAGTTAGGTTGACACAATGAGAACCATAAGGCGCTACGGGAAAGATGGCAACAGACAAGACTATAAGAGCTTACAAAAGAAGAGGGTTTCATCAGTAGGGCCGGTTAGATGTGATTTAAACCAACTGCAAAGAACAAAAAAAAGATTGCAAATCTATCCTTTTCCAATTATTATTCAATGTTTAACTACATTATCGCTGGGTCAATCATTTACAAAGTATAACATTTTGAGAGGTAGCTTATAAATGGCAAGTCAGGATGAAAATGGCTATATTTTACCATGGACGAATTACGACAACAAACAGATATACAGAAAGAAGTAGATACAGAGCTCCACACTAAAGTAAAGTGTCCGCCAACCCTCAGCGAAAATTTGATAAGAAATAAAATCACAATACAAAACGTACTATTCAATGTAAGGCATGGAACTGAAAGGGAAGATGAAAAAAGAAGGAAAAAAATATCAAGAGGTACGGTAAAGTAGTAAGACACTACTATGAGACACAATTTGTGTGCTACTACTTACAGACCTTTCCAAAACAGGTAGGAGAGCAAGCCATTGTTTTCTGAGCACCAAAGGCCAAAAGATAAGGAAAAAAACTAATTAAGTAAGAGTTGTTTATGGCGCTTGCAAAACAATAAGGTCATATAAGGGTCAAAGATTTGAAATGTTATTAGAGAGCAACATACACAAAAAAGAAGGAGGAAAGATTTATTAGGACGACAGATGTTTGATAGGAAAAAGGGAGCAAACCACACCAGAGCATTCCCAACCATCCATGAAGGAAAAAACTTAGAAACATGACTTAAATACTTACTCAGTATAACCGGCAGCTCTGAAAACCGAAACATGTCATCCCATACTATACACATAACTCCATTGTAGTTCTTCTGAACATGAGTGGCAACTTCTCGGACGTGTGAAAAGAAAATCTGTTCCTTGCTCAGTGAGCCGTCAGCCATGCGACTTTTACAGGTTTTACAAAGGCCCAAGTGATAGACCTGGGGAAACAATCAAACTACAAAAATCTTGACCTCATGAACAAAGTTTGCTGCTAAAAAAAAGACTATGAGCCCTGTATGCTAATAACAGTACTATCTTGATCTTACTTACATAAAGCATACAAATATAAATGTACTGGCATATGTGGTTTAGCAGTTAGTCGTTTCCCTGTCGCGGGCAAGAGACTCGAGTTCCATTCCCAGGTGGGGAGAATTTTCATCAAGTATCTTGGTCTTTCTGACGCGCAATGCTTTATCCCTCTCAGACGGGTTGGCAGTGATGTGCAAGGGTTGGCAGCCAGCCTTCTAAATGATATAGCATCGATGGGGGCGTATAAATACAATTTTTTTTCAATGTGAATTCTTTTCTGTCACAATCTTCACAATAAAACATAACAACCAAATCATTGTAGATAAAATGAAATTATTAACTCTGTTTCACCACATGTTAAAAGATGTGCAAACAAATTTGAAAGAACTCATTTTTCTTGAAAAAGAGAAAAAAATACACTTTAATCCACAGACAACATTACCTGAATCGTTTGAAAAACATTTGATGAAAACATGAGATTCAGGTAGCCATATCACTAAACCTATAAACAGCAAGTCCCAATAATATATCACAAAATTAGTGTAAGTAGGCATAACGCATCTCTAATGCACTTCCTACCATCAATATAAAGATTCTAGAGAAAAATTTAAAACAATTCTGATAAAAGCTTAATATCTTCTCACCTCATCGCATCCAATATGAAAATGCTGAACACCTGAATGCAAGGCCATTACTTGATCAATCATTTTACACACCACTGAGAGTGCATCTGAAATAGGACGGACGAAAAGAACAGCATGTTTACAAATTCTGGTTTACATAAAAAGCACGTGAATTCTCATTAGCCTCAAATTCCATTTTAACATTTCAACATTTCATTGTACTTATACCGTTTATTTCCTAGAGAATCTACAATTAAGGTAATTCTCTCATCAGTCCAGTGAATGTAAAAGACTGCACCACAAAACATTTATTATATCAACAGTGTTTAGTGTAAAGTCATCAACAAGGAAAGACTTATTTTACGAGAGACAGAGTAAACTGTCAAACTCCATCTGCTTGCTTCTATTGCATGCTGAAATTGGGAGACCTCTTCATCGTGCTTTACATTCACTCCATGAGTTAACTATGTAGAGTGTTGTATTTTATGATAACACACCGCAAAAATGTTTTACTTGCAGCTGGTGGTGGTGGGGAAGGGGGGGAGGGAGGTGGAGGTTGCATGGTGAAGGTAATGGGAATTTCAAAAGCGATGAGTTACCATATAATAAACATTGATAGGTAGTCAAATCTTATTTGGATGATGCAACTGTCATCTAAAAGGTACACGATTTAACTCAAGGCCCCAAACTGTTCTAATTTTGGTTCTATGTATTTAGCCATGATATTATAGGAGCTGGTAAGTATAGTCTACTTTGCAATAAGGTCTTTTGAAACTTATCTGAATTTTAGAGCACTGGAACTATCCGGGGCTAGTATGATGAAAGGCAGCTTATCTTGACAGAAAGTCAGCTATTTCATCCGGAAAAAAAATTGATTCAAATACCCTTGCATATAAGTAAACTACATTTCTTTAAAAAGAAAAATTCCATTTTTCTCAATCATATATACATTTGAAAAGAAAGAAAAGCAACAGTAAACAAGATTTGATGAACATATGGGCCTTGGGAAAGAGAGGCAGAGCAATTTTCTAACAAACGACTACAACAAGACGAAAAGATAATGTCAACCACCTACAGAGAAAGAAACAGACCACAATCTTCCGCCAACGAACAGAACATATACTACTCAACTTTCACTTGAACAGAATAAAACCAGAACTACCCCCAATGTGTCCTACATGTGACTATGCATATGAGACTGTGGAACATCACCTTTTCCACTGCACAGCCCTAAATGACATCAGAGCTACACTTCTCCCTCCGAGACCAAACATTGACAACACACTCTATGGAACATTACAGCAACTGCAGCAAACCTGCACTTATCGCTACATGGCATTGGACAGAAGGGCAAGAGCCCAGCTATTGCTAGACAGAAAACAACAACAACAACAACAGTTAAAAAGATTCTAATTTTTTCCAAATTAGTACCTGGATTTGAAGGGCAGAGAGCCATTGGGTACTTCTCAACCTCCCTCAAAGGAAAGAATTCTTCATGCTTCAGCACAAACTGGTATTGAAGGACAGAGGAAATAATGAATGAACATCAGTCTGAGAAATATTCCAAATGTTTTGTTACAACAAACTGTCAGCAGTTCTGTTACCTATTTGAAAATAAGGTTTGCGTTATGTTTTGCATGTTTAACTAGCTCACTATTTTTAACATGGATACAAACCATAAATTGTGAAAAAGATGTGCTACAAAAAAGGTCCCTTTATACTATCAATAAAACTGCAGAAAAATTTTTTAAAAACAAAACAACCACCAACCTAATAGATACAACCGTCACAGTAATCTCTGACATAATGATAAATAGCATATTTTGTATAGGCCTTATCCAAGCTCAACAGCAAGCTTTATTCGCTTTACAATCTATATTATTACCCAAGCAGACCTTAGAGCACTTAGATTTTGTCCATTAAACACTTACAGTACCGTCTGCGACTTAAGTAGCCAGATTGTAGTATGCTCTCACTACCACTGGCGACTTTAAAATGTCGCCAAGCACACTAAACATAATTAAACAACGAACGAACGCACTGCCCTGAAGTAAATACCAAAAGAAGTCACTCTATATGATAGCTGAATAGTTGATGAACCTCTATGCATTTCTAAAGCTTGTTTCTTGGGCTGCCAAGGTTTTTTTAAAGAAAAAAATTCTACCGCAGCTTCAGCGTTCTAAACTGGTGCGGTGCTTGAGAGTTTTTCCCTATAGGAGCCTTTGGTACTGCAAGTGTTAATAAAGTATTCTAGTAAGCTGATAAGGTTTTACATTTAGTAGGATGCCAAAATCTTACCTCAAGTAGGCTTCTTAGTTTTAGTTTTAGTAAGAGACAATAAGGTCATATAAGCGCTGAAGATTATTTTTTTTTTTTTTGGTTAGTGTTTTTATGGCGCTCGCAACTGCATAAGGTAATATGAGCGAGCAGGACACACCTAATACTTTTATTTGGTAGGAAATTTTGAATTTTGCCCGGGTGGCGGCCGAAGCCTACTATGATTGATTTTAGACCACCAAGGGTTCTTTAGCGTGCGCAACTTGCACACGGGCCCTCCGAGATTTTTCGCCCTTGTTCGAGAAGGCTAGGTGTAGATCTTTCCTACCAGAAGATCAGGGGTGTGGCAGAAAGACAGCTGTAAGAAGGAGTCAAAGAGTAGCAGTAGAAAGGCTGCAGAAAGAGTCAGGAGCCCAGAGGAGGGGGACAAAGGAGGTGAAGGGGTGTGGGCAGAAAGAGGAGATGAAAGCAGACGACAGAATATTGCTAGAGAGCAGGAAAGGAGGTGAAAGGAGGCAATTTAAGAGAAGAACATTTTTCGGGCGCTACCTGGATTCGAACCCGGGACCTTTGAAAGAGAGGCCAACACCTTAACCTCTAGGCCACGAGAGCCCCCGCCGAAGACTAGAGGTGTTACAAGAGAGTAACAAACAGATAAAAGAAGGAGGGGAGAAAAAGACGGTAGATGTTTGATAAGAAAGAAGAAGCAAACAACACCAAAGCACTCGCCAACCACCCACAGGTAGACTTCTAAAAGTCTTACCTCTTGTAGGCTACTTAAAGTCTAACCACCAGACTACCTTTCATAGGTTGCTAAAAGTCTTACCTCTAAATGGCCAAAAGTCTGCACTAGAGGGATAATGATAAGGTCATTGTCAGCGGCCAGGGTCTGAATTTGCTTGATTTCTTCTTTACTGGTGAGCACATAAAGAGAAAACAAAAATCTAATTTATTGAGTTCTCAGCGAAGCTTCTAATCAGAGCATGGATCTAGAGTACACTATACTAAGAAAAATACTAACGTAACCCATCATCACCAACCCACCAATATTGTATAAAATATATGAACAATCCTCAAAAGGTGGAGTGTCTTTTCTCACATGACAAACGAGGAAAAGGAAAATCTTGAATGAAATTATTTCTTTTTTCTAACTAGAAATAACAACTAGATAATAGCTAATAGAAGAACAGCCAAAGTCCACTATCCAAATAAATAATGCCCATGGTTTTGGAAAATCCTGTATTTTTGTGTTTATTTTCGTTGCATTGAAAAGTGGGTGTCTCTGTCGTGCAAGGCTCAGTTGTGAATAGCAAACCAATAAGACACTCAGAACGTACTCAGTGAAAACAAGTGAAAGCAGTCAACTGAAAACATTCCAGTTCCAGTAATAAAGTCAATTAACATCTAGTAAGTTGTGGAGGTTAAAAAACACATATACTTGTGGTCTACCATGTGTATCATCTTTATCATTTTTCTGGTCAAGCTTCTAGAATCTCTTCATATTGATTACAAACAAGAAAAAGAGACAGACAGACAGAACAGACAGACAGACAGACAGACACACAGACAGACAGACAGAAAAGCAGACACACAATAAATAGGAAAAAAGAGAGCAAAAGAAAGAAAGAGTAACAGAGAGAGAGACGGACAGAGAGAGAGACCGGGAGAGAGAAAGAAGGAGAGGGATGGATGGATAGATGGATGGATGGATGGATGGATGGATGGATGGATGGATGGATGGAAAGATGGATGGATGGATGGATTGATGGACAGACAGACAGAGGGACAGACAGACAGAGGGACGGACAGACAGACAGAGTGACGGAGAAATGGACTAATGGAAGGATTGACAGATGAATGGACAGACGGACGGATGGATGGATGGATGGACGGATGGATGGACGGATGGATGGATAGATGGATGGATGGACGGACGGAGGAATGAACCAATGAATTCAAACACAGATAAATAGACAGATACTTAATGGAATACAATACAAATCACATCTATGCACCTGTAGGCATGAGGAGCTGCAAGAACCTTCAACTCTTCGCTATACGGAAAGCTGTCTTCATACTCCACAAGTAAGCCTGTTGTACCCCATCTTTTGAGTAGTGGGAAAACCTGAGGCACAGTCAATAAAGTGACATTATAATCAAGTCGGACAGGTCAACAACTACATGAAGTACTGGAGATGCATTATAAAAAAAGGTAAAACAAAAAAAGGGTCTAAATTTTCAATTTATTATAGCTGTAAACTTCCATACTTCCAATGTACATTTTTTAGTGTGGTCTAGGGTTTGTTTCAGAGCAGCATTTTCCAAACCAGGAAGTTCTGTTAATTCATTGATCATTTCCCCTGGTTCTGAGATCACAGTAGAAAATGCAATATTTAGCAGTGCACATAAAAAAAGCCAAATTACCAACAAAACTATATCAATATAACAGTCACAAACCGTGTAAGTCCGAAATAACTACTTAAGGAAAAAAGTGGGTGAGCGTAGAGTGCCAGAAAATGGATATATTATAATAACAACATACACAGTCAAACCTGCCTTAACAGAACCCTTTCTAAGATGGAAACCTGTCATAATGGAATTTCCCTGCTTCCCCACTTAATTAATTTCTACATAAAAAGGAAACCTGCATAAAGTGGAAATGGAAAGAGAAATTTCTTCCCTTCGGCGGGATTTTACATGTCTAGGACTGAAAATACTTTGCTCACTCAGCCCTGATTTGAAACAAAATATTTCAGTTTGGATCCATCGGCTCTACTCTAGGTAACCTAGGCTCTAAACTTTATGTCATGCCACCAAGCAAGGAAGAGGAGTAGGGGGTGCAACTTGGAAGGTAGATGTTACCCAAGGAGATTAAAAGTAAGTTCTAAGCTCCTTGATGTTACCCCATCCATGTGAGCCCTGAGTGGTGCAGATGGTCAGTGTCGTGTGGGTATGAAGTCTCACCAGTACCTGTGAAAGTGCTCGGGTGGCACTCCAGCCAGGCAACTTTCCTGGGTTGCCAGAGACCAGAGGTGAGAAAATAGTTAGACCAATGCCTGTCACCTTGATCATACGCCAAGCCAACAAAAAAGTTCCTTGATTCTTTGTTACATGCATGGGAGGGTCGGCATTCATTGATTGGCTGTGATTATTACATAAATGGGAGGGGCTGAGGGTTGAAGCAAAGGAGATATTTAATCGTTTTTGTTTTTAATAGGTCAAAGAGTGGTCCTACGAGATGCAAGCACAGAAGGCGATGGATAAATAGGACTGATGCATGCCCTTATCAGAGAGGGGGTAGTACAACACTTGAGAGGTGTGAAGTTCTGACTATTGCTTACTTATTAGAACTATGGACCTCCCCCCCCTCCCCCAAATTCCTCTGTCCAAGACGAAAAATGTCTAAGACGGGGAAATTTTCTAGCTCCCTAACAATTTTATCTTAGACAGGTTTGAATCTGTATATTTTTAAGTACATGCTATGAACTAACATCACATTTTGAAATTTTCACTGTGTAAACTAAAACCTTTTTGTTTTTTCTCGTTGTTTGCTTAGTGGAACTGAATCAAAGGTAATAGTTTCATTGCGATATTCCTAAAGACTATAATCTATTCTACGATAATATGTGAATTTTTAAAATCATTTCAATTACATCTGAGAGAGAAAGGGGGAGGAGGAGCAGGAGGATGAGGAGGAGGAGGAGGAGGAGGAG